CATGCGCATTCGCATTTGTCTGAGTTGTAACGCTTATGCGAGAATGAGATTGAATCGGGATCTTGGTATCATGTCACCGTAGTTGCAAACCCCAAGTAATGTACCTCTGGTTCAACTCATTTGAAGTATTCACCTACGTTGCTGATACGAGGCATATACAGATACTCTGCACAATTTAGATGTGTGCCAGGTTTGAAAGCAGGGTAAATTAGATTTAAGCCAGCTTGAAACTAGCTGTTAAAATGTTATGCTCAGACTGTACTGTCTCTAGATAGCCATGTTTGAAATATCAAATGTGCAACGAGTCTATACCCCCAATGGGTCAAAATTTTGATTTGCAAATTAATGTAGCTTTCTCAAATATTCTACAGAGTTAAACTAACATCCGATGTGTTGTCTTGGTAACAATGGAAGAAGAAGTGATGCAATGTGGTGAAGAAAATAATGTGGCTGAACAACAAGCTACAAGAGCGTTGCTAAGGAAACGATTTCTGGAGACACTCCTTGCTATGAATAACCAGAAAATTACATTTTCAATGCATGATAGAATCAATGTTACGGCAACGTTTGAAGTAGCGGACATAGACATTCTTCATTTCCAGGTGTCTAATCTAGAGACACCAATTGGAGTGCAACCTCATGCTCTCCTCAGATGTTCAGATGTCATAGCATGCTGTTTTAAGACTCAAACAGCGAGAACATAAATGTAGAAACAAATTCAATAGACTTTGATACAACATTGATGTAGAAAGGAGCTTGTAGTAGTCTTGCCATAAGAATGCAATTTGCAGTTGCCATGGTAATTAATTGTCCAACTCTGGGAGATAGGATTGATGTTAGGGTTTAGTATACAGTGCATGGTTTGAGGATTGAAATACTGCTTGAATAAAATTAATACATACCAATGGTGTATTGCAAGAAAATTGCTAAGGAAACATTCTCATTAAACCAATAGCAACATCAGTTACTTCAAATATAGTGTATACTGTAAAATACTTTATTTCAGCAGGAATTTTTGCTGAAAAGACTTTTTGGGTGTTTTGTATGGAATTTATTTTCACTGATTTTTGACAAGTTGAATGTAAAATATAGGAAAAAAGGTATTTTTGCTGCATTTTATTCTTTCAGCAAAAATTAATTCCAAGTGAAAATAAAGTATTTTACAGTATATCAGTGTACATTTTGTTCATATCTCTTAGTGTATCTTCATGCCAAACTCTTTAAAATAGTGAGATTTCCACTGATTTATTGCAAATTGAAATTTTTGTTTAAATAAAAACAGGAAAAGGCATGGTAGCAATGAATAAATTATAAGTAACTGCAATATAAATACATTATATTTATTGGTAGTGCTACTTGCATGTTATAATCATTTTATTCCATGTATCATGCCTATTCCAAGTGAAACAACCCATTGGATATTTTTAATATCCAACCCCCATTATCCAATCTGATTGGTTGATGCACTCAATTTGAAATTGTGATGTCATCTCCATAGATACCGAACATGGCTCAT